CCCAGATCAAAAGCTTGATGCCCACGCGTCCTCGATCAAGTTATGCCGCTGCGACCGTCTTCAGCCTTTCTTGCAAGGCAGCAAAGTTCCGTTTCATAGCAGTTTCGGTAAACTGAGCCCCAGTCACCATCGGATATTTCTTCGAAGGCCCCTGGATTAAAGAATCCTTACAGGGCTGATTGAAGTAGGCAATGCTGTATCGGTCGCCAAAATAGTCCTCGGGCTCACAAGGGGCCTTGACACGATGGAAAGTTGACTTGAACCGGTCATCTGACCAGGACATGAGTAAATCGCCAATATTGCACACGATCTCGCCAGTGTTGGCTTTCACCTTGGTCCATTCGTCCCCAATACCGAACTCTGTCACCACTTCGCGACCGGGACAGATTTCCAGCCCATCCTGGCCATCCCTTTGGAAAAGTAAAGTCAAAAAGTCCCAATCGGCATGTGCCCCTGCGCGATGATACACCTTGCCGTCGGGAACTTCCGGCAAGGCAAAGTAATGGAGTAGACGCATAGTTGTTTGCGAGTTCGGTCGTGAGATGCCATGACACTCGATGAAGAATCTCTCGGGGAATCCCAGGCCCCGTGCAAAGCATCGCATCAAACATTCCGATACCTGTTGGACGCGATCCATAAAATCGAGACAGGCGTTCCGGAAACCAGGCAGGTCGTCGTACTTGAGCCAGAGGTCATTCATATTCTCGCCGAACTGCAACTGGTATGACTCTTTACTGTCGGGCTGCCCGGTAGACGGTCGGATTTGTGAGTTCTTTTCCCACCCGACATTGTTTGGATTCCACGGTACAGTTGCCTTGACCTCGTCCGATAGATCGAAGAAACTTTTTGAAATCGCAAACATGGATTGAATGTCTTCTTTGGAGATTCCATGATCGATCAAGGTGAAGAATCCGACATTCTCGGCGGCATGGATGAGTTGATCAGTAATTTCATCGATGCGATCTTCAAAGTCGTGCATCGAGATACGTGGAATGACTCGGTCGACATATCGGGTTTCAGATGCCATGTCTCTTAGTAGTCCGGGAACTTCGCCCATGTACACACGGTAAATTTATGAAAGCTTTTATAGGTTACTCGGTATCACGTCCAATATACGTGCATGCTGGACGGAGGGGGGCTTCGACCGAGCTGATAAGCATGTCGAGAGCTGTACGCGGAGTAGGACGTCATCAAAAGGTATGTAGATGTAGAGAATCCCGGACACTCTGCGTTGATAGGGCAGGATTATGGTCGAATCAATTCAACTCGATAAGACATTGTCAGCGCCCAGGCACTCGGCTGAGTTCTCAGCATCCAGGGATTGGCTCGGACTAAACGCTGCTCACGGGGTATCAAATTATCTATATGTCCATTATGTCCACATGTATCTACTAAATGCCACATACGCAAAAACAATTTGGGCGAGTGCTTGGTGCCAAAATAGATAGTGCGCAAACCTTCAAGATATGGCTCTATTGAACCTTGCGCACTTGGGTCACAGGTGAACGATATACTCGGCGACCGTGTACAATGTACAAAACAATTGCAAATATGACCACCGCTCCGAAGACAAGGATAGACCAATTCATATCCACCAGGGTCGGGTTATTGGTGGTTGGGAAGAAGGTGAAAATGATGGCAAAGCAAAGCCAAGCCAATGAGAAGACATTGATCGGCAATCCAAAGATACCGAGCGAAAATCGCGAAGGGGGAATACCACCCGGTTGAAAACGGACCCGAATGATGGCAGCAATCGGCAGGATGTACGTGGTGAAAAGTGCAGCGATCATCACAGATGCGACAGCATTGAAAGCCGCAGTAGATCCGATGTTGATCAAGCTCAGCAGCACGGTAATAATGGTCGATACCAACACGGAGAAGATAGGGATCTGGGTGCGTCGATTAACGTGAGCCAACTGCTTAGAGAACGGCAAGGCATCATCGCGGGCAAAAGCGAAGGTCTGGCGAGAGACTGTGGCAAGAATACCAATGGCGCTGCAAACTTCCATGACAAGAATGATAGCAGCCACACCATTAGTAGCAGCCATCGAGCCGGTTGCATGATTGACTGCTGGGAGGAAGGAGAATCCACTCGCCGGGGCGAGTACATCCTGCAAGTCTCCCATCTTATACAGCAAGGTGATTAGCATCACGAAACCCAGAGCGCCGTTGATCAAAGCGGTCGAAACCATACACCACGGCACCACCAAGGCAGCATTCTGGACCTCCTCGGCTAAGAGACATTAGCCATCGCGAATTAGGAGAGATATGGCGTTTGACTTACACATATGTGTAGCAGCATCCGGGCCCGTCCAGGAAAAGATCGGAGTCAGTTGGCCCACCAGACACGCGAGGCCCATGCTCGGCCATTCGCCAGCGTTTGTAAACTCCTTCCAGACAGAATCCCCAGAGGCCTGTCCTGGAGACATGACCCACATGAGGACAACGACAACAACGAAGCCGAAGAGGTGAATGGCGAGGATCAGACCCTCCATGGGAGGGAGAATCTTGTAGCCCCAGGTATTCACCACAGTTCCGACGGCGGCGATGCCGATGGTCAGCAGTGTCCCATGCCAGCGCTCAAAGCCATATAGCCAACCGGAGGGATCCGAGAAGTTGAAGACCAGTAGTCCTTGAATCAGAGTACCGCAAAGGTAGCAAATACTCGCAAACGCAGCTTGCCAGCCTAGTACCGAAAGCCATCCTAGAACGGGATTAGCGGTGGAGATCGTCGGGTTGTAATTCGAGGTTTCGGCTAACCGGTGAGATAGCTCAAGAATCGTTGGCACCTTGGCCAGGCGAATTCACTGACCCAGTGATACTGTCCACCCGATGTTGGAGAGCTGGCTAGTCAATCTCCATGCGCTCCATGCGCAACATGCGAAGGGGGGAGGAACTTACATGGAGGCAATCTCGGCCATGGAGATCACGGCGGAGAAGAATCCGACAAATGAAGCAATATACACATAGACCATGCCGGCTCGTCCGCCATCAATCAAGCCGTATGTACTCGTGCTGCGCCATTCTCCATTATTCCCAGTGTTATATCATAATATCGCGCGTCCAAACTCACAGCAGAATCGACTCCCATGTGGCCATCAACGTCGTTGTGAAACCTAAGATCGAATAAAAACGGAAGTTTCTCTATCGCTGATCAGTATTGCGTCCAGTCCTAGGAAATGTACAACTCACCTTGAACTGTTGGGTCTTTCCTAGGCGCTGCATGTCCCAATCATCCTGGTCGGTCGCATCGATTCCGACGTCCTGCGACACCACATTGTTGGCAAATGCTTCCTTCATGGCGATTCAGGATGTACAGCAAATGGAAAGGAGAAAAGGCGATCAGATCAAGGCCAAGGGGCCCCGGAGAAGGTCATAATCAAAGGGGGGAAGAACTGGGGAGGGAAGAAAAGCGCGAAAGTGGAGCCGAAGAAGTTTATTTGCTCGAGGACAAGTCATGCTGCAGATCCCTCATGAGATGAATGGGCTTTATCTTATGAGTCGACTTGTAGATGTGAACTTGTATACTCCGTAGCATAAATAAGTAACTATAGCAGATTATCATACATTCTAGAATCCCACATTCCAGGGATATCTTTCTCCACACAAAGTCAAGAGAATGGAGTAAATGGAGTATACAATATACACTCAAATATGATTCGATCCTTGCAGTTATTAACTCCACAGACGGGAGGTTTCTTCAGCGCACAACCCGCTAGCTCATATGGAACGAAGGAGGTGAGCTGGAGATGCATTGCCTATCAACGTGTACCTATGTGACATTATCATACACAATATTCTATGTTGTAGGTAGTTTAGACGGTCGCACTTCACCATTATGTTCTCACTTACAAATAATCGACGGTTATGATTAATAGAATACCATAGTAGCGTAAATAAAGTCTACCATATGTTCCATTCATATGAATTCATTTGGAGTTGTTGACTAATAGTTTTTAGGTCCGTTCACTCTACATCTAGCTAAGCATGTAGTAAATACTAGGTCGTGAGTCAACTATTTCAACATAACCAATGCGCATGATCTGTTCTTAACCGGGAGTACTCCGTACACTGCTTTATTTTCCCGACATTTTTTCCGCAATCAATTTGTGGTTGCTGTACGGAGTACTCGTACCTACCAATAAGATATTCTATACCCTACTACATATACCACGGCATTTCTAAATCCGTTCTTCTTCCAGTTCCAAGATAAACCCCCTATGTTGCATGTACCGTGCCAAGCGCCTAGCATCTGCCGAAATAGATACATACCCAATCGGGGATCTAGTGAATGACGAATCTTGGCGTCAAAATACGAAATATCATATGAATTGCGTGTCCTTTTTTAATTTACTCCGTACTCCGTACGTATGTTGTATGTTCTAGCCTTGTCTTAGGACTAAACCGAATACAGATATTGAGACCGACCTGGGGGTTGAAAAGGAGGCAGAGAGATCGGCAGAAGAAAAAGGGAAAAAAACGGTAGACTTGCGATTGAACTACAGATGACTCTGTATATTCTGAATCTATTTATCTAGTTACAACATCCATGGATAGTTCGTAGGAACGAATTTTCTTATCTGATCCCCAAGATTTGACCCCAACCGCCACATATTAACGCCACATCCCCGAATACTTGGATGACGACGCGTGGGGCTGATGGCGTTGCCGTTCCCTTCGGCGCCCCTCGGCAGATATTTTCATCGCTGGTTGGTGCAGACGCGCAATTCTCAATGGGATTTCGACCCACGGGGAGCTTGGCAGACCATGAGATTCCTACAAGATGAAAATCCGCCAACTCCCGAATCGCCCATACGCGTACGAGCTGAGTTCCACTGTTCGGATCGCCAAGACCGAGTGGTTCCTGCCCAGGACTCTTTCGGATAGACGGAGAATCGACGTGAAAAGGAGAGTGTCAAATATAACCATGCTGGCCCAGCCCCTGACTCCGATGCAAAAGACTCTCTGTCCGAATCTCTTGTTTCGTCCGGGATGCGCTAATGTTCTTGCGGACTTCTGATAGCGTGCTTCGCCTGAGCTCATGGCTTCGCAATGATCGTCTGCATGCCCGCCTGCCCTTCCGATGGATTGCTCTAGTTCTCGCCGCCATTGGGGGCTTCATTCTATTTTATCTATTTGCGATCCCACAACTTCTCCGGTTCCGGTTCCGCGTCGGTTTAAGCTGGTATGATCTAGGAGCTCAAGGGTTCGGTCCAGATCGAAATTACAACTCCTTCGATCAAGAGTCGCCCATTGTCGAAATCACCCCGCCTGGCGCAAAATGCGATCCCCGGTACACATTTCTTGCGCCTCGGGGCGATTCAGTTGCCCATCCTGGTCCGATGATCCTGGATCCCACTGGGGAACTTGTGTGGACAAAATGGAATGAGGGTACGACACAAGACTTCAAAGTACAGCGGTACAAGGGCGAGGACTACCTCACTTATTGGGAAGGAGACACATCCGACGGTCATGGACGAGGGTCATGGTACATGGTAGGTCATACATACATTAAGCTCGCTCACCACAATTCCGGTTCTCTAATCACATCGTCCAATTACAGCTTGATTCGACCTATACCCAAAAGTACGTGGTGTCTCCAATCGGCATGTATGACGGCGACATGCACGATTTCCAAATCACTTCCAACGATACCGCAATCTTGATAATTTACGACCCTATCCCGATGGACTTGAGCTCTATCGGCGGCCCGGGGCTGGGATGGATGTATGATGGAGTGTTCCAGGAAGTGAACCTCGAAACCGGAGAACTGTTATTTCAGTGGCGCGCATCCGATTTTTACCACCCGAGTGATAGTTATTATCCGATTGGAGATAATGGTCAGGAACGGGCCTCGGGGTATGACCACTCGCACATCAACAGTGTGGACAAGGATGACCAGGGCCGGTACCTGGTTTCGATGCGCCACCTCCATACTGTTGCATGTGTAGATGGCATCACTGGCGATGTCCTATGGTCGCTAGGAGGGAAACGGAACAACTTCGCCGAGGCTTCGGATCGAGCTGCCACCGATTTCTCATGGCAGCACGACGCTCGCTGGCAAGGACCCAACCGCCTCAGCTTGTTCGACAACGCAGCCTATAATAATGAAAACCTCTCGGCCGTGAGTCGCGGCCTGATCGTTGATCTGGATATAGAAGCGCGGCAGGCAACATTACTGCAGTCTTTCGAGCACCCGCACGATATCAAGGCCGTTTCTCAAGGGAATCTGCAAGTACTAGACACAGGGAACGTGTTCGTGGGCTGGGGTCACTCTGCAGCCTTCACCGAGTTCTCCCCAGAGGGCGATGTTGTATGCGATGTGCACTTTGGTGCCTGTGCTTTCTTCACATTTGGTCGTGTCGTCTCCTACCGGGTGTTCAAGTTCAACTGGGTAGGTAATCCTGTGACACTCCCGGACACTGCAATCACACCGGAGAGTGTCTTTATTAGTTGGAACGGTGCGACCGAGGTAGCTGAATGGCGAGTTGAGGCATGGGACGGTGAAGACCTCGGAAATATGACCTTCACGGCTATCGACCAGGTCCCTCGCGACGGGTTCGAAACTGAAATTCCACTGACCTCCAAGGTTGATTCATTCTTCCGCCTACGCGCAATCAACTCAAATGGAGAGAGCCTCGGTGTAACAGAAATACTCCAGCGACTACCATCGGAAGGCTCTCCCCATATAAGCACATGGGCCCTGGGCTGCATTGTGTTTGTGGTACTTGGCTGCCTTATATGCGGTGTTTACTATGCTGTTCACCGTCGACTTCGGCAGGGATGTAATCCCAGTGGCACGTATCAATTGGTATCATATAAGGATGAAAACCAGGGCGATGATGAGTATGATCGTCTACCATTATAGGACGCTGGAGTTCTAGATACCCGTTCTGCCTGTACATAACTTGGTCTGCACATATTTACGGATGGATTCCTATATATTTGCACATTCCTTCTTCGCGCCTTTTCTTATTTGTTGCCGGCAGGAATGTGGTGAGGATATTCCCTCCCTGTTCATTCGTATTGACGTCACCATATCTGATATCAATTCCTCGGCAAGTGGCTTGAATCTGCAGGTCTCGTGGATCGTGAAGCCCAATAAAACAGTGAGGTTGCGGAGGTTCTTCTTCGCTTCCGCTCATTTCTCATCAAAACTCGTTTGCCAAGGCTGTCAAAAACCTCGGTGGAATGTGGGGATCGAAGTGTGAGACTCGATTTCGTGGCCGACGTGATTCCGGATATCTTGCCTATTTGAGATGGGGCAGTGCTTTACCGTTTGAGCCGTAAATATGCCAAGATCGGACCACCTTGCAACTCTCTGGATGCTCATAGGGTATGCAAATGATGTTTGCCAACCCGAGGCTCGCCCGAAAATGGCGCCTCGTGATGGAGAGGACTCTGAGAGGTGCCCTTGGCGCCAAGGGTCACCTGTGAATCTGATGTTTCAGTTGAGGGGGAGGCGGGTGCTCTTGGCGCCGCTCGCAGAGTCCCGCTCCTAAGCCAAGCCGAGGCCTCAACGCCGGTCACAAGAATTTCCCGAGCAGTACTCAAGCACCGTTTCCGCCCCCGAAAAGCCACCATTGCTTCAATATCATCCGCTTGACCTTCCATGATCAAATCGCTGGATGTATGATTGGCGAAAGAAATGCCTCTTCTCCACCTTTTGTCACCAGGATCAGGATGATAACATTGGATCCTTCTCGGCGAAGGAACAATTTTGGACTCCTGACTCCTCGGGGTCAAGGCCACCGAAGTGTCCTAAGCATGAGTCAATATCGAGTCATGACCTTCAGTCTTCTGTGGCTGAACTAGGAAGTAGGTACATGATTGTTGAGATCAAGGTATCAAGGTTTTATGAGTACCGCTCAATTCAGAGTCTCTTTCTACGTAGATGGCATACCTTTCTGTCTCACCATTACGTTCTACAATTCCTGTCTGGTCGGTTCGAAACCAGCTCATTCTTGGCTGCTGGCCAAGCCCTATAGCCACATTGGCATATATATATCTCCTTGGCTGCTTCTCAGTTATTGATGGGGGAATCAAAATCTGGTTTTGTTGACTACGGAGGAGTGAAAATCCAGCAGAACTTTTCACTATAGCCGTGACCAAAATTTGGCATTATCCTACTCTGGGTACTCGTTATAGCGAGGAGGTATAAGTTGGGACCCAATTAACTTCATTTAGAAACCTCCCAGCTCCCAGTCAAGCAACCGTGGTCTGCTTATCTGCATTGAGGGTAGTACTGTTGCCATCGGAACGTTGATCTCATACTGGATTGACTTTCGAGCTTCCTATGGACCTCCTGATCTGACATGGCGCTTCCCAATTGCTTTCCGGTGCGTCTTCGGCCTTTTTTCTTTTCTAAGTCGTGCGCCGCCAGAAACTGGGTTGTGGTTGCCTGAGTGTATAGTCTACGATCTTTCTTTTCGACGGGAAACGCAGGTGTCACTCTTTTGTCTTGTTGCTAGTTATAATAGTATACTTTATGTAAGTATTTTTGATTCTAGAGTTCCTTTAAATGGAAGTAAAAAAAGAAAGCAATGACCGCGACTTGAACGCGGGACTTCGAGATTTGCACTTAGGATGATGTTAGTATTGAGGCAACTAGTCACTTTAGAAGCGAGGATACATACATCTCACACTCTACCACTGAGTTACCACTGCAGGTGATGATGAAACGCAAAGATAATAAATTATAATAGCCTAATCCCTAAACGAAGCTTATGTCTTTCAAGCTTTAGTCGTTACACCAAGGCTAACCAGCCACACTCAGCAACTACTTTGTTGTCCACAATCAACCTACAGGAAAGCACTTTGCCCAGTCTAACAACTTTTTCACTAATTCTGCTTAACACCAACTCTGCCTTGTGACATTTGCCATTATATAAAATGGAGCCTCGCCACGCCACTCGCAAGTGGGCATATTACTACTTGACAGTAGTAAAGACGGGATTTACCCTTCAGGCATCTAGTGTTAGTACCCGTTACCTCTATTCCTGCCATAGCCTCGCTAGACAGGACTAAGGCCCTTCGACTAAGACTCGCCGAATTCGCCTAACTGGGAGATGAACGTCAGTGGTAGAAGCAAGTGAATTGGCTGATAAAGGGATTATGCTATTGTCACTTTCGATATTGCGGCCGGAGCTGTGCCTCCGATACCGCCAAGATAGTAGTTATCAGCATAGTCCAGCAGCCAGAGCTTGAGAGTTTCCTCGTCATTCCCTCACATACTCGATCTTGATCTCTTCCTTACAATCAACCTAGACATCAACCTAGTCCACTCAAACCTGTTTCCAGGTCTGTAATACGTCTGCCCGACTGCAAACTGGAATGCCACCAATGAAACAATTACATCGACGTATATACAACCCTGCTCCCACCTCCACGGGGACCAGTTTGAAGTGCTACACTTGGTAGGTAAATCATAAATACATTATACCACGCAGTAAATTACCCATTACAATATGTAACATAGAAGATAGTTATCGAAGATTATTAAAAATATACACTATACAACCAAGTGTTTTCAATCAACTGAATTATTGTTGGGCGACTATATAGAACCACGCACAAAGCCATATGTCTCTACAGATCGGCGACTACCTCCTGTTTGCATTGTTATTTGATGTGACTACGATGTAGTGATGCGATTGAAGAGGGAGAGAGTTGTCAATTCCTAAAGGGCAGAATGCCCAACTATCTAGTTATGGGGGTTGGTGCCTGCCGCATCGGGCTGATGGTCAGGTGACCACCATGTCCAACATAATTCATGGACGCGTTTTTGGATGGGGTGGCGGCTCGTAACTATGTGAATTACGTTATGTAACTAGTTAGTTAGTCATACCTGCAGTGACGCCGCAAATTTTCCTTTCCCCCCCCTCACGTCTCCATCTCATTGCCTCACGTCTCCATCTCATTCTCGATCGCCGATATGAGTGACATTGTCGATTTTGTTTCTCCAAATGCCCCAGACCTGCCTAGTAAAGAGCAAGTTAGATTGCTTTGCACTAAACAAGGTCGGAGGGACAACCATTTCATCCACGTCCACAATGGCGAAAAGTTTTTTATCAAATATGAGGTCCCTTATTGCGAATGGAAAAATCAACAATTTTTATTTGATCGGATTGGGGCAAGCGCCGCTATTCGTATTCCTGAAATTTATGCCGTATTCGGTATATCAGATAGACTATATCTGATTATGGAATTCATTCAAACCGACTATATTGCGTCCGATATACAGAGAGCAAGAGCTATTTCTGATCTTGTTTCTATCGAGGTCCCCCTTGATATAACACCGGGTCCCGTCGGCGGGGGGTATATCCATATGAGAATCTTTTGGGATAATCAGATATCGGATATTGCCTACCCTTCTATCCAGGACCTAGAGGGTCATTTGAATCGTGTTTGTATCCCTAAGCTTTAAGACTAAATAGTTTTAGAACTAATATGATTTATTTTAGGTTTTGAAGGTCTTTAAACTACCTAACCAAGAGGTAGACTATATTGATTTCAGCCACGAGAGAATGATCTGCTGTTATACAGATCTTAAAAAAGCACATTTTCTAGTTGATATAGACGGCCAGCTCTGGGTTTCCGCGTTTCGTCAAGTCAATTTTCTTCCTGAGACTTTTATGTACTTTGCTCTAGGCAAGCAATTAGGGGGAGACCCACTCCCCCCTGAGTACTATAGTATGATTCCAATCATACCTACTCAAAACCTAAAAGGGCTTTCCGTAGTAAGACGATGGTTTCTACATGGTAGCAGTCGGTATTGTAGGTAGAACCCCCCTTTTATTTAGAGGATTATCTTACTAACAAGTTTTTCCTAATAGATATCAGAGATTTGGATATTTCAAATGTTGGCTAGGCATAATCACTTACGGGAAATGAGCATCTGTTGGATATCAGATGATCTAAGGTGACAGACCTCTTCCCTTAGATAGCTTCTCTTCGTCTCTTTCTCCCTTGTCTCTTCTTTCCCCCAGTTTCGTCAGACCAATGCCAGATAATCAGTCGGAGTATCTATTGTGCTTACTCTCTTATACAATTGTCTGCTTCCAAAGCACCCAGTTCAGTGAAAGGACCCTTGCTCGGACTTTCAGTCCTTAGTTCTATATCTAAATACATTACGTATCTATATAGACCCGACGATATAGCCCATTCAGATCAACGGCGATTCCATCCACAGGCTCTTGATGTTCAAGGGTCGCTTCGTACATGTATATATCTAGCGAAAGTAGTGAATAGAACGAAAATCAAATCGTAGATTCAGCTTTCAGAGCTCAACACAGTCAGACTGTAGTATTTCGATACCTACGCACTTGCACTAAGTCCTCAGTGGTAGATCACATCAGTCAGAACGATATAGGAGTAATTATCCGGAAAATCACCACGCAAAACAGGATTGAACCATGTCATACCCTCTTTGCCATAACGCATATTGAAATGCCGATAGAAAGCCGCACTATCTTCTTCTCTTGAAAAAGTGATAACCTCAGTATTTTCCAAACGACGGAGGAATTGCGACCTAATGTTTAAGTTAGTATGCCACAGTAAAGAGTCGGTTCGAAGGAATTGCGACTCACATAAAGTCCCTACAGCCCATATATCCGTTCCCATCAAATACAAATGTAAATGGTAGGATTTTAGACAAATTGGTAGGTATCAGAAAGTCTTTGACAGTCTTGCCCGGGGCAATTGGTATGTCGATCGATTTCAGGGCTCTCTGGTGAGGTCCTTGGTAACTGAGTGTTTTAACAACCAATTTACTGCCCATATTATAGGAATCGGGGATATTGCCGTGAATATCAATACTGATCAAGATACCGGTTGTCGAAGGAGGCGCATATGGTGTAGCTTTCATGATAGTATGCTTGAACGCGAGTCTGAGGACGACATGGCTCTTCTTCTCATCGTCGGCCCCATTCGCAGTCTCGCCTTCATTCAAAAACTCAAGCGTACAGGCCGAAACTTGTTTTCTCAATAATGGCAAGGGTATTTTGTCGTGCTCGTAAGATTGGGATTGTGTCACTACTGACGGTCCAGCCGTGAGTAGCTGGAAAGTGGACCCCGAGCGATGGACTCGAGTATTAGCCATCTATTCTTATTAGTATGAGTCGTTATCTTGACGGAGAAAACCAATATAAAAGCTGCTTACCTTGCTTTTGTATTCTGCAGTTACTTAGCAGAAACTAACTTCGTTTCGAAAGGATACAACACTATCTTATATCCGAAAAAAGTAGCTAAATGCAATTTAATTGGAGAGCTATTAGATTCGATCTTTTCTATCAGATTGAATGTCAATTGATGAATACATCCATGGTTTCTTTCAATTAGAGAACTATTAAATTCGACCTTTTCTATCAGATTGAATGTCAATTGATGAATACATCCATGGTTTCTTTCAATTGGAGAGCTATTAGATTCGACCTTTTCTATCGGATTGAATGCCAATCGATGAATACATCTTAGAATCAATCAATTGCTGATTTATTCATTTATTCATTTATTCAATTATGCATTTATACATTTATGCATTCTTTTAATGCAAATTCCGTTAGCCTACTGTAGTTGTATCAGACACGGAGAATTATATAGTCTGAATGACTTCCCAGGTTTGATGTTGGCGAACTTAGATACCTTGCTTACTATGGAGCCTGTGATAGTAATTCAAGTATTTTAATTTTCTGCCGCTAGTATGACATACCGCTTAAGGGTTAGGGCGATAAGGAAGGTTTTATAGTACAGAGACGTATAAGGACAAAGAGCGCTAAATCAAATTGATAGGGCTAAACCTAACAAAGTAATTCGTCATACCTATCCGATATGGTGTAGTGGCTAACATCGCCGTCTCTCACACGGCAGCCGGGGGTTCGATTCCCCCTATCGGAGATTTCTTTTTGATTCTTTTTGTACTTTATACATCCAATTGCGATAAACTATTCGCTATCCCCAAAAATATCACAAAAACGCGGTGGTGGCCATTTGTCAGGTTCGAGCCGTGTATCCCAAATGAACGGGTTTTCTTTGGCCGGCCCTAACGCTTGGATATATTAACTCGGACATATAGGCTTCCACCTCCCGGTTTATACCACCGGAGAATTTACCACGAGATCATTTCATGAGACGGTTACAAGTTCTATCTATCTTAAGACCCTGGCACTGGGCTTCCATTCAGCCTTCTCGAGCCTTTTTGTGATGCATCGCTCTTGTAATTGGCCCAAATCTTCTTCTCTTCCATCCCCTCACTACTAGGCACGGGTCTCTACAGCAATGTGAAAGCTGCCAGGAACATGAGGGTCAGTTCACCCATCGAGGGACCCAATCGTGCCATGCACCACGTTGACGCTAGCGAGGGTCTGGAGATGCTCGAAGATAGCATTTGTGGCCTTCGAATCACCGAGAAAGAGCTTCAGACAGAGGCAGCTGAATTCGGCGCTTTGCTGAAAGTGTTAGGACTAGCTACTAGCGTATCCTGAAATGGAGGTTTCGAACTAGAGTGGAGGTTCCCAAGATGGCTCAAGCAATTGAGTAGACTAATCGCTAAGGTTCTAATCCCATCGGGCTTACAGCTGATCGAATGTTAGAATGGGACCGCTAATTTAGCGTGAAGGAAAATATATTAATCCGTGTTAATCCGCGTTTCGACCATCTATCTGCTCAGAGGGGTCTTAGCGAATGTCGAGATCTCTCTTTATACTAGGATGTCTTCATAGCTTATAATAGACGTTCATAAAGACCCCGTGATCATTATTTACAGTATTATCTTTACCACTAAATCCTATCTTCTTCTGTACTAGGGTATTATAACCCCTAAAAGAATCCCGACATTCGCTGATGTCTGACATTCGCCGAGCTCTCGGAATTCGGATTAATACATGTTCCTCTGGGCCAAGAGGCGCTAAAAATTAGCGGTCCCATTCTAACATTCGACCAGCTGTCGGTCGAATCCCATGTGCGCGGTGTGTGTATACCCCTGGCGCTTACTTAGCAAGTACGTCGAGCCATACAGGCCAGTTGTGCAGGTGACCCTCGGGGCCGTAACAGAAAGACACTACGAATCGGTTTGCTGCATTGAGTGAAATGATCGAATCTCCCAGTAAGAGGGTTATTTCTGTCTCCAGATTCTATCGATGATAGGGAGAGGCGGTAATTTATTATACTCCGGAGGATTAGGGCAATTAACCAACTATCTACTCCGTAACTAGTTAGTACTTGCATCGGGCAGTGAAAAAAAAGAAAGGGAAAAATCCGGCGGTGAGCCAGGCGGTCAAAATTTCCCATGGGAGGTCGCCCAGTACGGAGAACAACCTTCAAAACCGCAAGCATCTTGTCGTGGGGTCGTTTCGCTCTTCTGTTCGCATTCGACTTCAGTATCCCGCTGTCAAGCGGGCGTTTAGGCGCGCTACGTTGATTCCGACAGTCTAAACAGTGGAGATGACGTCCCCACATCCCAAGGACATCGGGATGAGTTCCCCGCGCGAAAGGTCAAAGAGTGTTGCGTCTCTGAAACCGATAGAGCTTTCAGAGACAGGACAAGGACAAACACAACCAGAGACTAGAGATCGATCACAGTCTACTACAGAGGTTCAACAGCCACCAAGCACTGGTTTCGACTCCGCCGACCGTGTGTTCCCTGTTCGGTCGGTTGTTTCAATCGATCCCACCGTTACGCCCCACCATTCGGGTTCAGTACACTCCCGGGACACGATATCACCAACCCGAGAAGGGGCGCGACAGTACTCATTCATCGACGAAGGGACATGGAACCAAATGCACTCGCAGCATTCTTCCGACCACCTTTATCACCCCGATCCCGAACCCGCCGAACCTACCATCCCAACCGGTATTCCTCGCCACGAGACGCATGCTATAGATGGCAAAACAGAAATCGCGACACATTCTTTAGCATCGGAAGTTGTTCAACACCCCGAAATTTACGCCAAACCTGCCCCGAGTGACAACCAGTCTGGAAATGGGTCCACCGCGCCTCCATCCTCCAATACGCAGCGCAGAAACGCCGAAGACCATGCTCACGTTACTGCCCGCTTCAAACATGTCATGACGGACAGTGGCCATGCCGTCATCACAGGACGAGATGGGGGAGCATTTCAATATTGCGAGGATGAGCCCATTCGCATACCCGGGGCGATTCAGAGCTTTGGCTTACTGATTGCCCTCCGTGAAGAGTCGCCAAATCAGCTTATAGTTCGCATTGTGAGCGAGAACTCGGCTGACTTCTTGGGTTATTCGCCTAAACAATTGTTCGAGCTGAAAAATTTCTGTGACATTTTGAGTGAGGACCAGGTGGACACACTCTTGGATCACGTTGACTTTGTTCGTGATGATGCACACGACCCATCAATCGACGGACCGGAGGTTTTTAATATGTCCATCCGCACAGCTAATGGGGAGCGCTGCAAATTCTGGTGTGCCACTCATGTCTCTCAGACGCAAAAGGATTTGATTATCTGCGAGTTCGAGCGTGAGGATGACGAGGTGAACCCATTGAATGTCGCGGGCCTTGCCACTCCGGCAGTCCCCGCAGACACCCTAGGCATTATTCCAACGCCAGATCAACTCGCTGCGAGCACAATCAACATTAGCCAGCCTCTCCGCGTTCTCAGGAATGCCCGCCGTAGGAGGGGCGAGGCATCTCCAATGGAAGCTTTCAGTATCTTAACTCAGATACAAGAGCAGTTGGGGCGGACGAATAATCTAGACCAGCTGCTTAATACAACTGCAGGATTGGTTAAGGAACTGACAGGCTTCCACCGAGTTTTGATATATCAGTTCGATAGCAGCTGGAACGGCATGGTTGTTGCCGAGCTAGTTGATCCCAACACTACTATTGATCTCTACAAGGGTCTTCATTTTCCAGCGTCCGATATCCCCGCGCAAGCCCGAGAACTATACAAAATCAACAAGGTCCGGCTCCTATACGACCGCGACCAAGTCACTTCTCGACTTGTGTGTCGGACCTTGGAGGATCTCGAATCCCCGTTGGACATGACGCACGCCTATCTTCGCGCGATGTCCCCAATCCACGTGAAATATTTGGCACACATGAAAGTCCGGTCTTCAATGTCAATAAGCGTCAACGCTTTCAACGATCTATGGGGATTGATCTCCTGCCATAGCTACGGAAATTCCGGTATGCGCGTGTCATTCCCAATACGCAAAATGTGCCGGCTCCTCGGCGACACCGTGTCTCGAAACATAGAGCGGCTTTCATATGCCTCTCGCCTTCAGGCCCGAAAACTAATCAACACTGTCCCAACCGAGGCCAACCCATCAGGCTACATAATTGCATCCTCGGATGATCTTCTACAACTATTTGATGCAGATTACGGTGTTCTGTCGATTCGCGATGAAACAAAAATTCTTGGTGACAACAATAACTCCCAGGAGGTACTTGCGTTGCTAGAGTTCCTTCGCGTACGGCATTTGGATTCAGTGCTTGCATCACACGACATCGTCAAGGATTTCCCCGATTTGTACTACGCCCCAGGGTTGAAGGCAATATCTGGTCTACTATATGTCCCGCTCTCTACTGGAGGTAGTGACTTCATCGCATTCTTCCGTCGTGGACAGTTGACAGAAATCAAGTGGGCTGGTAACCCTTACGAAATCGAAAAGCGAAAGCAGACCGCGGGATATCTAGAACCACGCGAAAGTTTCACAGCATGGCGGGAGACAGTTCTATCGCAAAGTAGAGAGTGGACAGAGACGGACGTGGAGACGGCGGCTGTCTTGTGCTGTAGGTTGTCTCCTTGAGATATCCTAAATGTTTTGCCTCGATTGTTTGAAGACTGACATACCTTGAACAGTAGTTTACGGTAAATTTATCAAAGTTTGGAGGCAGAAGGAGGCCGCTATGCAAACATCGCAACTCACTCGCCTACTTTTGGCCAACTCCGCACACGAAGTTCGGACCCCTTTGAATGCTATCGTTAACTATCTAGAGATTGCACTTGAGGGTGCTCTGGACGATGAAACCAGAGAGAGTTTGACCAAATCCCATTCGGCTTCCAAATCATTGATTTACGTGATCAACGATCTCCTTGACTTGACAAATACCGAAAAAGGCCAAGACCTCATCAAAGATGAGACATTCGATCTGGAATCGACCTTTAGAGAGGCGGCTGATATGCTGTCTGGCGACGCCAAGCGGAAGAATATTTCATACACTGTTTCAGTACATCCTGGTATTCCTGAGTTAGTTCTCGGTGACCAGCGTCGTGTGCGGCAAGTCCTTTCGAATGTGATTTCAAATGCCATCCAACACACCAAATCTGGCGCTGTCACGACAGAAATTTGGCGCTCCAACGGTCAAACCATTCCAGGCCATGTGGGAGTGGAGATGACGGTTGTTGACACGGGTGTGGGCATGTCGCACGACAAGTTGCAGAGGCTCTTTCACGAACTCGAACAAGTGTCGACCGATGATACCTACTACCCCGAAGAAGAAGAAGAAGAGAACACGCAGAACCTACCGCAAAAACGTGTGTTGGGTCTTGGTCTTGCTCTTGCAGCAAGGATCGTCCATAACATGCATGGTCAGCTCGGTGTCAGATCAGAAGAAGGGAAGGGCAGTCGTTTCAAGATTATATTGCACTTCCGATTGCCAGAGGGAACAACCGTGGACGAAGATGCAGATGGAATGTCCCCTGGTGTTGTCATTCCTGCGACGCCTATGCTTTCAGACAAGGAGTTTACACTGGTTTCCGGAGCACATGAGTCTCGTGATGCCAGACGACGAAGTTCTGAAAGCCTTCGTAGTGGTGCCAGTTCCCGCAGTGGACACAGTGGGCGCAGTGCGAGAAGTCACGCCGATCGACTCATCAGTGCCATGCAAGAGCCTCCCCTTAAAAGGTCTACGAGCCAAGATTTGGATCTGAGACGGCTGAACCTTTCGTCGAGTCCTGCCAGCGCCAGCAGCAATAATGCTCATCCTCCTCTTGCATCACCATCCGCTGTAAAGCGATCATTGACTATGCAGGATCCGCATTCAAGTCTGTCTTCGGTCACGCATACCCCGCCGCTCATGTTACAGCCACTTGTCAGCCCCCCTCCCCCGGGTCTGGAAAATATCACGGACTCGGGAGTGCCAATGGGTGCTCTGCGAATGTCACAACATTTCGCTAGTCTCAGATCACCACCCATCGAGCCCACCAAAGAAGATAACTCATACTTCCCCAGAGTTTCATCAATCGCAGAAACATCACAAGCTCCCTCCTCTGGGCCAGCATCATCTGCCCCACTAACCACCGTACCTTCAACAACAGACTCCGATCCCCTCAGTGTCCTTGTCGCCGAGGACGATCCAGTCAATAGCAAGATCATACAAAAGCGGTTGACCAAACTGGGCCACACCGTTGAGTTGACCAACAATGGTGAAGCCTGCACAATTGCTTTTGCCTCAGCTACCAAATATTTTGACGTGGTGTTGATGGATATTCAGGTATGTTGAAAACACTTCTCCTATCTATCTTCTTCACGGTCACTAACCCTTCCCAGATGCCAATACTCGATGGAATGAGAGCCACCAGAGCGATTCGCGAGTTTGAATCCAAGACACCCAAGGAAGCGCTCTCCGAAAAAGCTATACACAATGATCGAGTACCTATATTTGCTGTGTCCGCGTCATTAGTTGAAAAGGACCGCGATAGCTATATCGATACTGGCTTTGATGGCTGGGTCATGAAACCTATCAATTTTGCTCGTTTGAATATTCTATTAAGCGGTATCTGCGATTCATCCGCCCGAAAAGCAGCCACATACACGCCTGATGGGGAATGGGAAAACGGTGGTTGGTTCGACACCAAGTAACGAACATTTGGTCGTTGAACGGCTGTCCTTAAATTCTGTCTCCATTCTCACATTTCCTATCATCTCTTGCACCCTACACCTCTCCCTTTTGATTACCCTTGACCCCTGCTCATTCCCAAGGATAGGTCCACACGCAAAGCTCAGTCCCTCTTTGTTCCCATTCTATCATGGTTCGAGCTTTTTGTTCCGCAGGCATATTCCTTGGAGGTTTGTGACCCATTTGATGATTTTCTTCTATCTACGTGACATGTGTTTATTTGCATATACAGGCCCCGGTACATGAAATGGGCCTGTGGGATTTTCTCTGGCGTTCCTTGTGACTTCTATATGTGAAATATACGGATACCCTATACGTCACATGTTTGTGTTTATTTCATGTTCTTTTCATTTTTCACTTTATTTTCGCTTTTCTTTCTATTTACTGTTCATCTCAATGTCGGGATGTCATGACAACTAGTTGTACGGTCGAGCTGCGTTGGGGTTTCCTTGGCGATGTAAAACGCTGTCGCCAAGCGCAATATCTGATGCCAGCATGCAGAGACCCACTGGCCAGAGGGGACTAGCACGGATATACAACAGTTCGTCCCCAGTCTCAAGCCTATCTGTTCCAGCGGTGCTTTCAGCGCGGGATGAGTGGTGCTGGTCGCATAGGCCGAGCTTTTCAAGACGAGCCAGCCTCTTTGAGAGTTGCGTTTCATTCATTGCCTAATGCCTGTATATGATGCAAGTGGTAGGTGTTTCCTCCCGTATTTAGAAGTCGAGTTGTCGAGAGCTTCTCCGCAGTCTCCTGGAGTTTTAAGACTGACCGGCGAGTTGATCAGCGATTTTGATATCTTGTTCAAATGTGCTGGGACACTGCGCAACCTCCCCAAGGCCTAAGCCCACCGTCACCATACCATCTAGCTGTTTGTCATGCGAGACTGCCTGACCACGGAAATGTGCTGCTGTGATGGAGCCAACTTGCACATAGTGTCTGGACGTCGCGTTTCTGTTTGTTTTCTGTACAAGTTTTACGTCGCAGTATCCTGTCAGCATGTCGGCAATAGTCCAAGATCGATTCGGACATAATCCAGATGCTTGATGGTGCACGTAGGGGTAAGTAAGCTACCTTGGTGAATATTTTTAACCAATCAGAGTGTGAATCTTGATCTGAGATACTATAGGGAATTAATTAGACCCAGTAAGTACGGAGTAAATTCTACCTTATTTGCTTCATTTGCTTCACCAGTCTTGGAAATAAATAGCAAAAAGAAAGCAATGACCGCGACTTGAACGCGGGACTTCGAGATTTGCACTTAGGATGATGTTAGTATTGAGGCGACTAGTCACTTTAGAAGCGAAGATACATACATCTCACACTCTACCACTGAGTTACCACTGCAGATGACGATGGAGCACAAATATAATATGTTATATTAGACTTACCCTTTAAATTAAGCTTATATACTAATTCCCATCGGATATATTCATTGACGACGCGTAATTCTTACACAAGGCCCGGGGATAGAGGACACGGCAAGACTTGCGGAATTACTACGAGATGGTGGGATCCCATCGGCGCTCTGGGGGGACTTTGTCCGTTAGTATGTCGTTCACAGCCCTTAGTATTGATTTACCGACGCATACGATATTGGCCGTCAGCCTCTATCCGACGAATCTGCCCCTTATCTAGACGAATTTAACAAATAGTGTGGGCTGGCTCTCTGTGATCGACGTCCCGAGGTCGCCTACGTATCTGCACGCCTATATATGAGCTCCCAAAGACTGGGGATTCATTCAACGACTCGTTTCATCTATTTATTATTGGATACACCGTAGACCGAGTGAGTTTAGACTCTGCGTATCTTGAATTCTGATTTGGTTGATTATAAAGGACATGAGGCATACCTAATTGCGTATTCACTTTGGTGTGATTGAGAGTGCAGATATATAGACATAAATAGACGTTGCAGCCCGGCTCAGCATAAGGTTACATGAACAGGATCCTGCTCATACCCGCGTATCTACTCGTGCTATCCACATCGTATCCTTTAGCTAGCCCGCACTATAAGCCTGATTCATAGCAATCAGTCTTTCCGAGTAAACTCGTCTCTTTTATAAAATCATCCTATAGTATGTAAATAAAGAAGCTTACTCATCATATGGGTGCCATGGTCTAGTGGTATGACGACACATTGTGGTACAACAATGATCTGTGTTAGCCCCGGTTCGATTCCGGGTGGCGCCAATTATTTTTTTCCTTCCCTTTTCTCTCTCACTTATACCAAGTAGTAAGTAGACCAGTCAAAAACCAATTTTCTGCTGTAGTGTAATAATCTAAGAGAAGAAAAAGCCATAAACCTAAGAATATATCAGCTTTACTTGATGTAGCCAAAATTTGTCGCCATTTCATCTTTTCGGTGCCATGGTCTAGTGGTATGACGATACATTGTGGCGACATGATTCTGTAATTCTGTATTAGCCCCAGTTCGATTCCGGGTGGCGCCAATTATTTTTTTCTAACCTCCACACTAGCACGGAGTATCACTCATGTCGCTCATGGGTGAATTCGTTTGCAGGACTTTGCTAAAGATTATGGTGTTCAGACCGCCTTCGGGCTGTTTTGTGTTATCTTATTGGCTTATTGCTTCCTACCGCCTACGGGTAGTTCTGCCCGCCGTACCCCATCAAAATCCGTACTCCTTTCCACCTCATTTCCCTATACAACATAGTATATTGCATGGAATCATCAGTGAACGATGTGATGATGTCTGCTTAAATGGTGACTTTCGACCTGGAAAAGCTTACAACAGTCTATCCTATAAAGATTCACCCACCTCCACTTTATTTTTCTGGGCGCATAAGTAGCGTGGTATATGATTCGGTATCTTTACAGATTCAAAATAGTTTAATATCCAAGCAATTGTGCTCTCAACCCTAAATTTAATATATAGTAGGGCCCCCGAGCATCACTAACTGCCTAGCATTCATCTGGCATATTACAAATTGACAAATTCAAGGGTTATACAATATAGAAGAGAGGAATCAGAGGGACTCTATATAATACAAAATATAAGCTTAATACTAGGGTCTAAGACTAATTAGGGAAATATTAGCAGATCTATGCGCCACTAGAAAAGTGGGTGGGTGAATCTTTATAGGGTAGACTGTTGTACACAAAAAGAAGCCTTGCCTAATAACTACTCGGCCCTGGTCTGTCTTCTATGATCATGGGGAAAAGAATAAAAAAAAAAAGAATGGCGCCACCCGGAATCGAACCGGGGCTAACACAGATCATTGTTGTACCACAATGTGTCGTCATACCACTAGACCATGGCACCAAGAAGCTGAAAATTGCAAGAAATTTGGCTATATCAAGAAATTGTTTCATCTACACCTACAGAAGCGCAGGTATTTCAGTTATAGTCTAAACAGCCCGAATATAATGCATTTATCAAGTAAGTAGGGAGATGGTGGCTTTGAAACATGCGAGCACGAATATTTGAAAGCATCGTAACTCAGTCACAAGCCAGAGAAACACAAAACCATAAAATCTCTAACTAAAAACAATCGGTCCGAAAATGACAATCTTGTGGACAAACTTAGTAAACATATGAGAGTAATAACAGTCTGGTTTCTGCCAAGGGAGATCGAAAGGTAGCATGCTTCAAAAACAACGAAAGCTTGCTGTTTTCAAATGTTCTCCTTAGCTCCCTTCTTTGGTTTGCCCTTTGGTACAGGTTTCTTTGTACGACCTTTCACTGTTTTCTCAATCTTCGCTTTCTTGGGCTGCCTTTTCTTCCTTCTTGTTGGGACCATATCCTCGTCCGAGGAATGAGTTGGGAATGCATCCTCATCCGAGGAATGAGCAAGACCAGCCCGCCCCACAAGGTCTTCCACAAGAACGTGAGCTTTGCCGATCCGCACTTCCGGAGTTCCTCCCTCTCTGTTCCATGCTCCGGTTCGAAAGAAATATGGTTGGATAATTGCGAGTACTTCATGGCCATTGAGTCTAGACTCACGCTCAAAGAGCAATTGGATACGTGCTGCTTCAAGTACCTTCGAGCTAAGTTGAAACTCGGTTGGAATTTCATCTAAAAGTCGCCATTCCAGTAACGGTTGGGATGTGGCCAAGTCCCTTGCAGCTTTAGCCATCTGGAAGTATACATTGCCAAGGCTTTTCTTCATTTTGTCTTCGTCTTCGTGTTTGAGGAGGCATCGGAAGGTCTTGTCTTCGAGTTTAGCGGCAGCGAACTGATAGGCCTTGGCCTTCATAAGGGCCTCATTTGCGAGCCCAAAGGTAGGATCGCGTTTCATTAACATGGTGCTGTACCTGACATTAGCAAGGCGTATTGTCTGCGCCCGCCAGTGGTGAGCAAGCTGTGGCTCCGCTAAAAAAACAAAAAAAAACACGCCGTGTTAGCTTTGAAGCTTCATAAAAAGATCACACATTCAAGGAGTAGGTCACCTTTCAGAAACTTCTTGTACATAGTATGTAGGTGGGTGCCGAAAGGGGCCTCAATGCCTTCGCTGTTCAGGAATTCACCATCGGCATCCAAATACCAGAAAGGGTTTGACCAGAATAGTCTCATGCAATCTTTGATAATGATCATCGATGCAAAGACACGCAGAATGTTGTACCGTATGTTAGGCGGGAGCCGCGAGACCGTTCTGTCGAAGTCATCTTGAACAACCCAACCTTTTAAGCTCTCAATGACATCCTTTTTTTGCTCTTGAGATAAGCTTTCACACCTGCTTCTTCTGGTTTTGTTGCAATAGTATGCTGCCCAAGATTCACACTGAATCGTTTGATGGTTGAGTTCAAGTTCCCATTGGGACAAGGGGAGTTCGGGCCAGCATTCGTAACATCCGTTCAGGAACTGTCGATCATTTCGGAGAGAACGGATATTAGTCCAGCAGATTTCAAGCGCATCCTTCAGCTCCTCAATACATTTTTGTTGCTCTTCAAATGTGAGAGCCGGTTTGACAGAGTCTTCCTCGTCTTCCACCCACCAAGGAATCTCTCCATTCTCCCTTTTGATCCTTTTGATCCTTTTGATCCTTTTTGCTTCTTCTTCTTCTTCTTGTATGCGATTCCACTCCCTAACATCCATCTGCTGAGGTTTAGGTCTGAATTCCTAGTCGGGCTTTGGAATGGAGATCTCACAGTCTTGATGGGGGATTTCACCACCGGCTTGGCAACTTCCTCCAGAACTCTTTTGTCGGCTTTAGAACTAGACATGGTTGAGGGGATTTCGAAATTTCTGGAGATATGGTAAGGAAGAAGCAACTGCCATAGGGGGGTAGAAGCTATCTAAAACCGTGGTGAGATCAAGACGTTTTGGTTTCTTTCAAACTCGTAATGATTTGAAATGATACAGGGCTGAGCCCGGAGATACTTTTCTTTGTTTAAAAGGGGCGCTGGATACGCCACTGCAAGGATATCTGTTTCTTCCCGTCTGTTATTTGCGAACCAGCTCTTCGCTTTGTTCCCAAATGGATTTTCTTCTTTCATCTTTTATTTCCAGTCATAGACGAGATATTTGAGAAGCACTAGAGGGTCAAGAGTCCCTTTGAAAGAAAGCAGAAGTGAACAAATGGAAAGTGTCATATGTCCAAGTTGATGTCTCGGCCCAATTTCCAACAGAACTACTACGGTTGCTGGTTGGATTATTATCTATATGCCTGGCCCAAGTAGATGATATGATCTTTCTGTGATTTCTTGAAAACATGGGGCGCATAGATCGACGATGGTAGAAGTCACCTTTTTTTTTGGAATTGCCAGATAAACATATAGAAAGTAGGTATTAAACCATCTAGAATATCAAAGAAAAAAAGGGTTTCTGCGGCCATCATCTTAGCAACAGGTTAGGTTTGGCTCAACGAACTTGTCTTGGAATCTAATAGATGAGGTGGGTTGAAACAAGCCTAGGTTTCGCTTCTCACGAAATGGTTGATTCACAGGTCACGACTTAAATGGAGGATTCCAGACGGCCCTTCCATGCGGCTAAATCAAGTTCTCTGATATATGGTGGTACCCGAACACACAGGATTACCATCATGAATAGCTTCGTACAACAATCTCAATCCGCGTCAATGTATTGCAGCCCATCCCCGAGACTCGTCGTTGGCATTGACTATGGAACATCAGGCACTGGTAAATATGCCAACCGTTCGCATTATGCAATGAGGGACACAGCTTATATATAGTCATCTAGGAGTCACCATCCACCTAGTTGAAGGTAACAATGTCGCTCCTGGAAAGCGCATAGAATGGCCCCTCGGCGACAAGGAGCGGAAAGTGCCATCCAGGATAGCATACCCTGCCGATAATCCATCTTTCACCATGCTTTCTCCCTGCTGGGGCTTTGACATAGAGCCTGACATGAGGGCATACTCGTTTACCAAGCTATTTCTGGATAGCAACGCAGAGTTAGCCCAGTTTGATGACGAGGTTCTGCAACAAACTGTCTCTCTTGGTAATCCTCACCAAGCTCTCCACCCTGACAAGAACAAAGCCCCCGTGGATATTGTTGCCGACTACCTATCTCATGTGTTGAAATTTGTGTGGAAGACAATTCAAAATGATTCAGATCAGTCACTCAAACATCTGCCTGTCAACCTTCGATTCACCATTCCTGCAACATGGTCTGATCGGGGCCAAGATCTGAGCAGGCAGGCCGTGATTCGGGCGTGGAATTTCAAGAGACCCCAAGATACGCTTACGCTGATGCATGAGCCTGAAGCGGCCGCAGAAAGTGTACATGCCGAACTCAAGTATCAAGATGTGCTACGGGCTGGAGACGGGATTTTGGTCTGCGACTGTGGCAGTGGGACAGTTGTACGTCTTCTTCCTGCATTACCACTAGTCAAGGGCCCTGTTAACTATTTACTTCAAGGATATCACGTCGTACCTTGTTATGGATAGTACCGGTTCTAAATTATCGAGGATAACTGCGATGCAAGGCAAGTGAGATGATCATTGCTTCTATTATCATAACCAGACGCTGACTTGGCTTGATGCAGGGGCAAAGTGTGGAGGCGCAGCTATTGACAGTCGACTCTTTGATCTTTTGAAAAGGCGACTTCCCCAGCAAGCCTTCGATCACCTGAACTATCTTATCGCCCCAGGAAGCGTCTTTATGACTGAGTTCGAACGAGTCAAAAGGGTGTTTTCAGGTAACGAAGAAGAAATGTCTTTCAATTTACCACTCGATATCAGAATAGGTCGGTCGGCTTGCACAATGCCATACTTTGATCAGGACACGGGCGAATTTATCCTTACAGTCGAAGACATTCAGTTACTGTTTGACCAAGTCATCCGCAACATCATTGGTCTGGTCCGCTCACAGATTATAGCTGCATACAGAGCATACGGTGACTCAGTGGTCAACGTGAGCATACTACTGCTTCAGGTGAACTTCGGTTACAGGGCTAAAGTGAGACTTCTAGAAAATTGTCCTTGTGGGAGGGCTAGCATCATCACCTTACCTTCAACGTGCACTTCGTCAATGTTTCGAAGTCCCAGGATTGTCCGTCACTGTTAAAAAATATGAACCGTAAGTCTTCTTAATCGATTGATAATCGTACTTGCTAACATATCCCAAGTATTATGGCTGTTTCTGATGGGTCGGCACTTGCAGCCTCACGCGAATTAGAGGCCGGAAGCCCTCGGGTGAGAAGTCCTCGCCATTATGGATTTGGATCCCCTTCATGCCGAGGTAGGCTTTATTTCCGCTACATGAAACAGTTGAGACCCTTTTAATAAGCAACTGGAAACAGAGAAGATAGAATGGACAATCGTCGAGGTAAGTCTCACGCAGCCCGGCTGTATCCTACCCTATCGGCAAAATCACTTCTGACGGAGACGTACCAGGGCAAGCAATACCAACAAGGAGTCACCTATACCCATACACCCCAATGGTCATATCAGCTGTACCAGGAGGGCGATTTCAAGGCGATGACGATCCCAGTCTATTCTTGCGGACTACCAAATCCACCAGACGGCGCGCACGTTGCTCGATTAAACGGTATGAACCTTCAGTGTGGTGTGTAAAATTATGTACTTGCTAACATACTTCAGATGTAACACTTGTGGGGTTAATTGTCGCTGACTTATCCTCTCTGGATCTTGGAGGTCTCGGTCCTGAACTGGATGCGCATGGGCGGATGCTCTATAGGCTAGATTATCTTGTCAGGTACATTTTTGACGCGGAAAACAGAGCCTTGCACTGTACCGTGCAGGCACTTGGAAAGGTAATTGGAACATTGAGCCTTCAACTGCGCTTTTGAAAACTCGACATAGCTGATGGGCATGATGTTTCGCCTGGGGAGGCGGTGGTGATCATTCAACCTAGGAACAGCAACTACAACCAAATCTTCTAGTTGGCTGTGACAGATAATTGAAAGTGAGCGCAATGGTTGCTAAATTTTGAAATAATTCATCGCGGTTTCGTCGTAGAGACCATAATCCGGTATAAATACATCCTGCGATGCACCATACCCGAACAAGACCGGAATCATCAACTAAGATCCTGAAATGCACTTTTGTTATCTAGCTTTTTTTGTACGACCTCTACCCTAGAAGGTCACTCGGGTGAATCCTTGTTGCCGTATTCTGTCAATATTCTCAACATCAGTGCCTTCGGTTTAGATATGAAATTACCAACTTAATTTGTAGCCCTACCATGACAGCTTTTTAGCCTTAGTTTACTCTATCGACCCTCATAGGTTGTTCTACTCTTTGCTCTAATATCCTAGTCATCTGCATCGCCGAAGCTAATGATCTATGTCGAAGGTTATACATAGAAAAAGTCTTTACAATGCCTTTTTCTGCCGTCTAAATCAAAAAAAGGTGGTATCTAAAAAGGACTACATCTGAAAATACCACAAAGACAGAGGCCGTATTCAGACGAGTAAATGGCACATATCATTGTGGGGTAATTTAGGTATAAAACGCCTTCTCTACATCAATTTCCTAATTAGGGCACGCCACGTGATATAAATCTGCTGGTTAATCAAAATGTAACATAGGACCCTGAAAGACGGCAGTGTGGAAAAGAAGAAGAAATGGAGATTGGATGCTGTGGGGTGATGACGACATATAAAAACGCACTAGTCTGGCGTGACGATCCCAATTAATATAAGTAGATAGGAAGTACCGAGGCTGTAATCCGGCAAGCCAGTAAAAGTACGCCAGCCCGCACGAGAGTCACTCGGGTGGCTTTGGGTCTTTCAGGGTCTTGAAACACGGGAAACTGAGGAAGTCACTGTAACCCTACGATGTATGTATACCTACGATCTACATAAAGGATTCCAGAGTTGGCGGCATTTTGCGAGCTGATTGGAGATAAACAGGACAGCACTAGACAAGATGAAATATATAAATCATCAACATCTGCTCCTCAAATGCATAACCTCCCCAAACCCACTGGATCATAATCCCACAAGTTCAACTCCCAAAAGCCAGCATGTCGTTCAAGCTCCTGCTTGCCACCCTCCCAGCCCTGGCATTTGCTGCCTGCACCGGTCCCGCTGTCAACACCAACGGCCTTGATCTAATCAAGAGCTTTGAATCCTTCCAAGCAAACGTCTACGATGATGGCTACGGCAATCCCACCATCGGCTACGGCCATCTCTGTAGCGACTCCACTTGCTCGGAAGTGACATTCTCCAAGCCATTGACCGAGGATACAGCGAGCCAATTGCTTGCCAAAGACCTAGTGGTAAGTCCCTACAAGCACTCTTCCTCCCTAAAACCCCATCATGTAGGTATCTAATGAATGTACTGTCTAACCTGGAAAGCAGACCTACCAAAATGGCGTAACAAACGCCCTTGCCACCGCGGTCACTCTGAACGACAACCAGTACGCGGCGCTCGTTTCATGGACGTTCAACGTCGGCGTCGGGAACATGCAGTCATCCAGTCTAGTCAGCCGCATGAATGCCGGTGAGAATGTGGAGACTGTGGCATCTGAGGAATTGCCCAAGTGGAATAAAGCCAATGGGGCGGTTGTTGCTGGGCTAACGCGCCGGCGAGCTGATGAAGTGAAGCTGTTCGAGGAGGCTTCTCAGACCAAGGCTTTGCCTGTTGGCTGTTAAGTCAGGACTTGTATAGGTAGACTTTGGCTATCTTTTATCATTGGAGGTATAGGGGACGATGAATTCATTGTTGATTAATGAATGCATAAACCTACTTTCAATGAAGTCCGATGTTCATATTTGGCAGCTTTGTTTATTCCTTCATACTTCTTCCAGGGTTCCAAGGTTGTTTTCTAAAGACATTTGGATCTAAGATGAAGACACAATAAAAAGGCAATTGCGCCTAATTGTTTATATTTGATACGGATATGTTCATATAACATCAGTTTTCTAGTAATTTCATATAACAGTTTCCTGGTCTAGCGGTTATGATTTTCCGTTAACAAATGCTATTAGCTGATGTTCCGGAAAGGTTCTGGGTTCGATTCCCAGGGAAACTATTTTTAATTTTTTTATTTTAAATACCTAGTTGCTAAGCCTATTCCTATATTCTACATTTGATTTTGTATTCTTGGTTTTAGTTTTGTTAGGTCGCAAAATTCATACAAGTGACCGGGATATATATTGTCAACATGTATGTGATCTGGTCATGATTTTTTCAGTCTTGAAGCTGTCATTAGAGTCATTAGATAGGCTCTTTAATGCATTGACATACAGGTGAAAGTGTCCCTTCACCATGCTATATACCCCTCCATCTTTGGGGGTCTCGCCAGCGAGAACCACCCAATCTTCCCCCATTCACCACCACCTCCGCAACCATTCTCCCACGCGCCCCCAGAACGTGGGCACATCTTCCTCCACCCTGAGTACCCCACGCAGTGGAGACTTCACTCGTGGGTATGGGCGGCCGCGGCCACGACGACGGCGAGACTTCCCCGAGGCACTGCCAAACTTATGCTTGGCAATTTGGCGTTTGCACACGGCGAGCTGCTCGTTCAGCTCCCGTTGCATTTGCTGCAAGCCGTGGTAGGTCACCAACAGCTTGTGGAGGTCATCGAGCGCTGGCTTGCGCTTCTTCCTCGCCTGGATGGGAAATGTTAGTTTCATAGAATATCGACTGATTCAAGGGAAGGTCAGGGCTCACCCGCGAGGAATCATGCTCAGCTGAGCGCTTTCTCTTCCTTATGCTCGTAGGCTGTCTTGAGCCAGATTGTGCACGTAGGTCAGTGGACATTGGGTTGAGACTCACCAATAAGGGCTGCGCGTACTCACTCCCGCTGGTATCCATGTTGTTTTGTGCGGGGATACGAAGAGAGAGGTGAATATGAAGAGAGGATACAGCAATCTTGTATGATTTTATACCATGAGATTATAGGCACTGCGTATTTGAATAGCCATTGTCCTTATTGTGTAGGAAGATGACATAGGGTGTCAATAAGCGCACAACAATACCATCTCTGATTCACCAGAAGGACAATGAGAATTCAATATATGATAATAAATGATAACAATCTCATTGGAGAGGGAGATTGTTCCCTGATGTGAAATCAAACTGAATAGAAAAATAAAGAACAAGTGATGAAAAAGTGAGAGATTCACCAAATAAACCATGAATAGTATAGTCGAGGGTAGCACATGAGACCACGGCTGAAGGTAATATCATGCTGCTTGTGCTTCGAAGCAGGTCTGAATATTGAAAGTGTTGAAAACCCTTTGTAAGAGAAAGGCAGAGAGAGTGCTTGACGCATTTCGAGCTCTCCAATCCTAAGCTGCTACGAAAGAACACGATTTACCATCTTCACACCCTCTATTCCATGGGATCTTGTTTACTCACACCTATGTCGATTCCATAGCAGCCATTCGCACCGAGCTTCCTAATCAGTAGGCTTGGAATATAGTTATGATTCTTCGCATGGTGGATCGTCTCTGCTATTGTGGTACGGCGAGTTCAGTGTTGCAATGTTTCACTACGGCCATAAAGCTCCAACACGAGGCGAGAAGAATGCACCATATTTTTACTATCAGATATGCATGATTGTTGGCATCTTGTCCAAGTCCTGTGAATCGTTTATTATTGTTGATCATGTCTAAAAATGATATCGCTCAATGACGCTCCCGTATAAGTTGTAAGTCTATGAAATGCAGAGTAAATCCCAAACGCTAAATTTTCGCTGATAACCCCGAAAAGGAAAAAAGAAAAAGGCAGAATCATGACACGTATAGAACAGGAAAATGGTGAAAAATGCAAATAAATGACTAGAAGCTGAACAGACCGGTGCGCTTTTTGCCGTAGGGGTAGACAACCAAAGCCGCGATAAACAGCCCGACTGTGATACCGATCGCGACTTGGATCATGCCGAAACCAAGACTGGCAACTGAAGTTTCAGAGAGAGAGCTGGAATATGAACTAGTCCCATTATTTTCAAGGTTCTGACGAACTTCGTCGGCGTATTTGATGCCCGCAATCAGAGAGCCACTAGAAGCAAGGCCAGAGGGGACCAGCACAAATATACCAGGAAGAATGGCGGTGGCGGCATGGCCATGCCAGAGCCGACTGTACAGATTGCCTAGCACACCGATAGTGAATGCACCGACGGTGTTGGCGACTTCTGATTGGGCGCCGAGCTTGGTCGTGCTGAAATAGTTGGCGACGTACCCGGACAAAGCGATGAAAACCATGACGGGCATCTGCTTCAATTTTCCATGGTTCACAATGGCTAGAAAAATAGCGTAGACAGCCACGAAGGGGAATGTGCGTGCATAAACCGACCCATAGACATCCAGGCCTGAACACGTAGATGCAGATGTCGCATTGCCATCCATTAGTCCGTAGATCGTAGTCCCCACTGTAATACCATAGCCCAAAAAGAGGGAGTAGATAATGGAATACACCATACGGATCGAACCGGCGATGATCTGGTGAGATTGCAGCTCCAGACTGCTACAAAGGACCATGAATCCAGGGAGAATCAGAGCGATAGATGACTGTGCCATAGCGGAGAAGCAGAAAAGTGGTTCGGATTTACCATTGCGGGTAACCATGATGCTGCCAAATGCGCGGGCGAGGAAGGAAGTCAGAATAGCAGCAGTAACCTCAAAGACGTTGGAGTAGAGAGTCGACCGTGGGGCGAGAACGTGCTGCATCAGTCCAACAATGCAACCGAGGCAGAAGATGATGGGCATATCGATCGGTCGCGCTTTAAAAGCGAACGGGCCGACCGCTGCACTAGCAAAACCGTAAACCAGGACCAAGATCCATTTACTGAATCTGGGCTTGCGCTGCATAATCTCGTCCAGTTCCTGAGTTGCCTCCTCGACGCCGATAAGATCGTGGACGACATTCTTGTAAACGTTGTGTGTATCAGCAAGGCGACCAAGGTCGACTCCTTGCACCATCCGTACAAGCTTGACTTCGGCCGTGCGTGTAGTAGGATCATCAAAGGACATGATCATGCAACCGGGCAGATATAAGAATTGGCCCGAAACTTCCAAGACCCTGGCGGTCATTTGCATATACTCCTCCAGACGATGGGTCGGCGCTCCGTATCGCATAAGCGCACGGCACAGCTGCATGATATACCGCTGACGTGCAATGATCTCTGCGATATGGACGGTAACACGGATCTCATCTTCTAGACGGGTCTTGCGCTTGCTCTTCCCCCGTTTCTTTTGCATACCGGGAGCGGCCTCAACCGCGGCAGGCAGGCTAGCCGTGCTGAGGTTCATGGAGGCATTGACCAACGACGAGGTGGACCGATGGGCTGACTTCTTGTACCATTTGAGCTTTTCCTTGCGTGGGGTGGCGGTACCAGAGGCTGGCAGAGACGCAGGGATAAGGGGCGAGATGTAACCCTTCTTCGGGGTGGAGATACTGGAAGACACCTGAGTGTCACTGTCGGAGTCATCGGTGATGACACTTTCCGGGCGCGAAGAGCTCCCGCTCTGGGCGACCTGAAGCTTCAGCAACTGCGACAGAATGCCGCCGCCGACTCCACTAGACCGTCTCCGCTGCGTAAAGGCGCTGATCAAGCCCTCGGGAGTTGTCTGTCCCGACCGCTGATATGCGCCCCGAGGTTTGCGCTTCCGTAGCTGATCCTGAACCGCGGTCATGCTGCGCACCAAGCGATGAGCCTCGGCGCTAGGAGGCGGCTCAATAAAATTCTCACCACTCTCCAATGCGTGCGCTCGGTCGGCGTCATGGCGGGCGCGGCGGGCCTGCAGCTCCTCGAGTGGGATACCGCTGTCGAAGTCGTCTGGGTTGTAAGAGGCATTGAGCGGCTCGCCCTCATCCGTGGGGCGACCGAGGCGTTCCGTCAAGCGGCTAGTTTTCTGTCGCAACAGATGACCGGTAGCTCTGAACCGGTCGCGGGCCGAGGTCGCCCGGTCCATTTTACCTGCGAAATCATGTTTCTCGGTTTCGTCAAACTCGGGCATATGCACATTGGAGCCGCGCCGGGAATGGGCCGGGGCTGGCGGGGTGATGGTTCCGGATAGCGGGATTTCGTTGAGGTCTGACTGCGGCAGTAACGGTCGTGACAGGGGATCGGAGTCATTTTCGTTTCGGCGTAGACTCATCGAGCGAAAGCGAACCCTATGATGGGATCGGCTCCCACGGCGGGTGGGTGGCTCGATCCCGGCATTGTATTGGTTGACATCGACGGTGGCTTCACGCTCGAGGCTATGACGATCACCGGGATTGTCAATGATTGGGAGAGGGTATTCCGCGTATTCTTCACTTGGGCTTGGGTGTGGGTTGATGATGCCCGACATGAAGGGGGATTTGGGTGAGCTCGGTGGCTCGGTAAAAGATTATCCGAGAGCTGCAAGTCGTTTATGCAAGGCACAAGGCACAACGAATGGGAGAAGGCAAGTTAAAAGAATAATATATGAAAAGATGAACGGTGAAAAAGAGAGTAGGATTAAGAAGAAAGAAGAGTTTTTCCCTTTTGATAAGGCTAGAACAGGATCAAATGGCGAAACCAAGGAATTGCCAATCTAAGAATTCCCTCAATGCGGATTTCAGTTCGGGTCTTGGATAGTTAAAATAGTTAAAAAAGACTTCAAACCAGGGAGTCTAGATCTTCTAGATAATGAAATCATAATAATACATAGACTTATATGCACATCTTCTACCATGGCCTTTATAGGCCCAACCCTAAGTCTACCCGCTGTTTAACCCTCCAACTGCACATCCATGGATATATGCACACTGGCATATCCCCTCTCTCATTCGGCAACTCTAGAATTGGAACTCCGTAGAGTACGTACAACCTGCACATCAGCTAGGTGGTGTGGGTCATATTGTGGCGATCTTGGTGTGTCCAGTGGTATTGACACCGAGCCATCCGGGCTAAAGTGTTTATGTATGGTTCGTGCATGTTCTTATATATACTTTATATAAATGCTTTGTGAATGGTTTCCTTGCCCTTTCCTTCTGGTTTCGTCCTTATCTTTGGCACACACCTAGAGACTTCACCCCTTAGGCCGCATTTGATCTGCCTAAAACGTCGATCTTGACCCACGTCTTGGGTGTAGTCTGCTACTTCGCAGCCACCTCCTGAAATAGAGTGGAGTGAAAAGGATCCAAGTCCCTTGCAAATCTGATGCCATTATCCCCTGTGATATGAATCAAAGGAAAGGGTTAATCAGACAGTTAGAAGTCAGATTTATAGATAGAAACATGACCCACTGGACCCTCGGGATTCACGCAGAACATTACGAATCGCCGATAGCTCACGGCCCACGCCACCCGGTGGAGTCAAAATGGATGGCGTAAATCTGTGCGGTTACACATGATTCAATGGTTTAATCTAGTGATCGAGACCCTCTATCCCCTCTATCCCACATGCTATCTTGTACAACACACGCAGTAGCTCTTCCAAGTCCCCTTATCTCAGCTCTGACCGCTCCCTGTTGGAAAAGGTCCGTTCTTAGATCTTGGAAATACCGCTGTTGAGGTATGCTGCGCATGGAAGCCACGCCGCCCAAGGGACGAGGCACCAGAATGCGGTCCGCGCTGCTGTCCACAATTGACCAGACCCGGCCTAAATAAAATAAAAGCAAGGCAGTTAATGCCCGATTTGCATACGCAGTACTTGGCAACCCGGTCAAAGAAAGATTGCGAATCGGTCGCATGGTAAAAGACGTATCCCATCAACCCATATTCATAAATGAGAGTCTAGGCGCAAAGAGCCAGCCTAGTGGAAAATATGGTAATTGCTTGAAGCTGGTTATATGTCCCATAGTTTTACTTGCCTATATTCCCTATAAAGAATCACAAGTTGTCTACTCCGTACAGGTGTTCATAATCGTAAAACAATCATGAAAGCCCAGGCCAAGGCTATGTGGCGGATCCTCTGGTGATAGGGGTTACCATGCCAATGATAGACACGGTTAGCCTGAGCAAGAGCGACAGAATAGGGCCCGGTGAAAATACTATATACAATATATAAAAAAAAAATCTCAATTCTAGATGAAGTCGTGGAGATGACCTGGAGATGACCTGGAGATTCCAATCGTCACTGGAAGAAGTGGCAAACCCCCACCATGCAAACCAAACAAACACAAACTGGATGACTAAGCAGGGGCAAGCCCTCATTTAGCATGTGACAGCATGTAACATCCATTCTTTACTCCACCGATACAATTTCGAAGATGCTCGGTATTGCAAGAAGCTTGTTTGCAAGCAACTGCCTGTTGGTGAGTGAGGTTGGCAATTATGACTTTAAAACATCGGAAGATATATTCTTCCTGTTCGAGTCTCGTGAAGAGGGCCAGGTCAATGTCTCGGACGAGGAGAAACTGGTAGCTGGATGGACGAGGGGCGCAAAGCTGTAGGCCTGCCTTCAGCTCCCCCAGAGAGGGCCCGGGTCAGGATAGTAGCATTATGAGGAACAACAAAGCCATCGGGATAAAGAGATAATTCGGAGAGTTGCCCGTTATATTGGGGAATGTCATTCGAAGCTTCCAAGTTTCTGGCGTGGATGTGCTGTTTGAACTATAAAGGCTCCCGGGGGATGTGCGCGAGTTGTCTAGACGGCGTCTTCAATTGATTATTAGGCTATAATAGGATAAAAAATGATATAGACGGCGAATTTTCTGATAGCAAGCCAAAACCAATAGGACCTGCGTTGGCCCACACGTTTAGCAATTTAGAAATATCGGTGAACATTAACCGCCGTGGCTTTTATTTGAGAATTGTCAATTAGATTGGGTACAACACCGAGTAGGCAATGTGGAGTATACTGACACATTCAGATCGATACGTGTCTGTGAAACAGACAGCTGCGCCGAGTTCAGCGAGTTTCAGGGCCCCTGGTCGCTCGTGCATATTGATGAAATGAAGCCGAATGAGTTGAATCGCTTTTCCGCCGTGGGTTGTTGTTCGCCACAAAGCAAGATATAAAATGTCGCAGGCAGACATGACCATCGCCATGCCAAGTAGCAGTAATTCTTGATGATAACGGCGACTTTTGCTCTGCTTAATCTATCCATCGCTACCCAACACGATGCCCTTACGATTGTTGTGTCTCCATGGCTGGGGGACGAATCAGAAAGTAAGCTACCAACGCTGCTGATAGGGGAGGGGTGACGGCAATCCTAATTTGCCAATAGATTTTACAGTCACAACTGAGTATGCAATCGCCTGCTACAGTGGCGAAACACAGAACTCTAATCAAACAGGTGGGCTCATGCATGAGCTCCAACGCGACAACACCGCGACCTTCTCTTTCCTCGAAGGTGACGTCGATTCAGATCCCGGGCCTGGAATCGCCGGTTACTATGACGGTCCGTACTACAGCTACTACCGTTTCCCACGCACCTTTTCCCACGAGGACAGCGATGAGTCCGACATCCTGGAGGCGTACGAGCAACTGAGTGAAACAGTTGCCCTGGAAGGTCCGTTTGATGGGGTTCTAGGCTTCTCCCATGGCGGCACATTGGCGGCTGGGTTCATGATCCACCACGCCAAGATGAATCCAAATGAGCCGGCGCTATTTCGATGCGCAATCTTCATCAATTCCCTCCCACCGTTCCGTATGGAACCTGGGAAGCGTCCTGTCGTAGACGAGGGATTGGAGGGGTTTATCTCTATCCCCTGCGTGCATATCGCCGGAGCTAAAGACCCACTCTTTGAATACTCAATGGCCCTGTATCGACTCTGTGCTGGAAGGGATTCGACATTTGCCGTACATGGGAAGGGCCATGATGTCCCCAGTGATCGGAAGAATGTCGCCATAATCGCCACTGCAATTCGAAAACTGTCCAGTCAAATTTTGTGACGTCGGATACCAAAGGCATGGTCTTTACTTCGGCTGTGCGACACAGAGGCAAAGGTTGGGCGAAGAAGAGTTTGTTTGTAGAAGAGAGTAGTATATTTGCGGTTGTGGAACATAACCTGTTGTTGTAATGGTATATTGCAGATTCTTCGCGAAGGCAGACATTGTGTTTCAGATCAAGACATTCATGGCCCCTGAATTTGTTTCGCCGTGGAGGGTTGCACCCGGATACTTACCTCGTTGCGACTGGGGTGAAACCTTCCCACACATCCCGATGTAGATTGTCACCGAGAACGAATGACACTAAGAAATCGAGTAGATAGATTGCTTTGATACAGGAAGCCCATTTCCCTGGCCTGAGAAAAGCTAGTCCCCTCTCGCTTTTCCCTGGCATGAGATATATGGTTATTGGCCGACATCCAGCAAAGCAAAAGCAACTATGTCGTCACAAACCAGCGACAAACCCCCCAAAGCGACCGTTTTGCAAGATGATCCGGCAAACTTGGCCGCACAGTCCTGGATGCCAATAGCAGTTGTGGGAATTGGCTTCCGGGGACCAGGGGATGCCAAAAATGTCGAGAAGCTGTGGGAAATGATTCTCACGGGTAGAGAGGCATGGAGCCCAATTCCAGCTGAGAGGTGGAACAGTGCAGCATTCTACCACCCGGATCATGCCCGCCATGGAACGGTAAGTTATGCATGAGATGAATCCGAATACTTAATAACGTGAGAGTAGATCAATGTGGAAGGGGGTCACTTTTTGAAAGATGATGTATCTGTCTTCGACGCGCCGTTTTTCAACATGACAAGCGACGAGGCAGCGGTAAGTACAGAGTTGAATGTTGTTGGGCTCATCTAATTGTCAACCTACCAGGCCATGGATCCACAGCAGAGATTGCTCTTGGAGGTAGCATATGAAGGTCTTGAAAATGGTAGGTTATTGCTCCGAATGACGTTTTCGAGGCTGATGATGGTGGATAGCTGGCATTCCCCTGACCAAAATTATGGGCACAAAAACTTCCTGCTTTGTAGGGTCTTTCTCTGCAGACTATACGGATCTCTTACTTCGGGATCCCGAGTGTGTGCCCATGTATCAGTGCACAAACGCCGGACAATCTCGTGCAATGGCGGCAAACAGGCTGTCTTATTTCTTTGATTTGAAAGGGCCCAGCGTCACGGTAGACACTGCTTGTTCTGGAAGCCTTGTGGCACTTCATTTGGCATGCCAAAGCCTCCAGACAGGGGACTCATCAATGGCAATTGCAGCGGGAGTCAATTTGATCTTGAGTCACGAATTTATGTCAACGATGAGCATGATGAAGTATGCAAGAAATTACCCGCAACCGGAAGACTAGACTGATTTAGTCACAGGTTTCTCTCCTCGGATGGAAGATGCCATACCTTTGATGAAAAGGCTAATGGTTACGCGCGAGGCGAGGCAGCTGGCTGTCTCATCCTCAAACCCCTGGCCAAGGCGTTACACGATCACGACAAGATCCGGGCCGTGATACGAGGCACAGGTTCCAATCAGGACGGGCGCACTGCAGGAATAACTCTACCTAACGGGGCAGCCCAGGAAAGCTTGATCAGGAGTGTCTATACACGGGCTGATCTGGATCCCTCGGAAACCGATTTTGTGGAGGCTCATGGGACAGGCACACTGGCTGGAGACCCAATTGAGACCGGGGCAATCGCTCGTGTCTTTGGAACTGGTCGTCCGCCTGACAATCCTGTGCGGATTGGCTCCATCAAAACCAACGTCGGGCACTTGGAAGGCGCAAGCGGAGTAGCGGGTGTGATCAAGGCAGTGCTAATGTTGGAAAACCGCATGTTCTTGCCAAACAGAAATTTTGAGACAATTAACCCGCGTATCCCACTCGACGATTGGAAACTCAAGGTTTGGATGCTCGGGCAAGCTAAAGATTGGAGACTAACGTCAGTAGGTTCAATTGCGCCCTGAGCCATGGGCGACTACGGGGCCTCGTCGAGTTTCAGTGAACAGCTTCGGGTACGGTGGAAGCAATGCCCATGTTATTGTCGAAGATGCCCAAAGCTGCTTATCGAGCTGGGGATTCAAAGAATATGACATAATCCAATCTACAGCGACTAAATATCATAACGAGACACCTCCTAGCCTGCCGCGTGGTTTATCTCGCATATTCATGCTCTCTGGGTTTGATGAAAGAACCTGTGCACAGCAGATGCAGGCTCTGAGCAATCATATTCTCGATAAGGGACAAGAAGTTGACCATGAAAAGTTTCTGGACGAACTTGCCTTCACAATAAACGAGCGACGATCTGTCTTTCCATGGAAGGCAGCCATTGTCGGAGATACGATGGCAGGTTTGGCAGCCTCACTTTCTCAGAACATCAAGGCTAGGAGCGCCGTACGGCAGCCAACCCTTGGGTTTGTCTTTACTGGGCAAGGCGCGCAGTGGGCCGGAATGGGAAAGGAGCTGCTTCAGGCCTATCCTGTCTTCAAAAGGTCAATTTTGGGTATCGACAGATTTCTGAATGACGTTGGAGCCCCTTTTACAGTAGAAGGTACACAGACACCAGACTTCTAAAGGTCCCGTGCACTGACATCATGAGTGCAGAGGAGATCACGAAATGCCCCCAGGACTCCCATTTGAACCATCCAAGTCTCAGCCAAACAGTGTGCACAGCCATACAAATTGCGCTGGTCGACTTGCTGGAATCGTGGAATATACACTCAGACTCCGTAACGGGTCATTCCAGTGGGGAGATCGCCGCTGCTTATGCTACTGGAGCACTCATAATGGACGATGCAATGTCAGTGGCATACTACCGAGGTGTTGTGGCAAGCGAGCTTCTGCATGACCAACCCAACAGAGGTGCCATGATGGCAGTTGGGATGTCTGCCGAAGAGGTACAGCCCTATCTGGACGGATTCCAGCCTGGACAGCTGGTGGTAGCGTGCATCAACAGTCCCTCGAGTGTGACGATATCAGGTGATACACTTGCAATTGATGCACTCGCCCAAATCTTGCAAGAACAACAGGTTTTCAGTCGACGCCTCGAAGTGGGTGTCGCTTATCATTCTCCTCATATAGAACAGGTTGCCGAGAAGTATCACAGCTTGATAGACCACATCCAGCCCCGAGGACTGGATCAGATAGCGGGAGACAAGAGAGGAAGGTCGGGATCGTTCTTTTCCTCGGTCACTGGAACGATGATTCCTGTGGAAGAATTGGATGCTCAGTATTGGGTGTCAAACTTGGTTGGACAAGTGAAATTTGCTAACTCGCTGAGGAATTTGTGTTTTGAGACAAATAGTCAACGTGCTGGGCATACAGGGGGTTCCCGAATACGAAAGGCTGGGGCAGCCCAAAAGCCTTCGGTGGATTGTCTGATCGAGATCGGTCCCCACGCGGCACTTTCTGGGCCGGTCAAGCAAGTCCTCCAGGCGGATGCAAAACTCAATGCTGCCGATATAGCCTATATCAGCATTCTGACCCGGAAGGCCAACGCAGTTACTACAGCCCTCAGAGCAGTCGCCACACTAGGATCACTCAACTACCCCATTGAATTCAGTGCAATCAACAGGCCCATGGGGAGAAAGAAAAGTAGCACGCCACAGCTACTGGTTGATCTTCCGACATATGCCTGGAATCACACCAGGTCATATTGGGCAGAGCCACGACTGAGCAAGATGTATCGAAACCGAACCTCGCCGCGGATGGATTTACTTGGTGCACCAGACAACATGGCATGTCCATTCGAGCCTCGCTGGAGAAATTATCTTCGGACTTCGGAGCTCCCTTGGCTTCTTGATCACAGGATACAGGGGAACATTGTTTTCCCTGCCGCAGGGTATTTGGTCATGGCAATTGAAGCTTCAGCACAGTTGAGCAAAGACGAAGAAAAGATTGCGAGATACGTGCTGCGAGATGTGGCAATACAATCAGCCCTGGTGCTCAATGAAACTTCTGGCGTAGAGGTTATGGTGTCTCTTCAAAAGTCGACGCAAGACCAAGAACAGTTGTACAATTTCCATATATACTCCATCTCAGAGGATAATAGGTGGATTGAGCATTGCACTGGATTGGTCGGGACACAGGAAAGTATTGGCGTTTCAGGCGACGGAGTCGAGGAAACTGATGGTTATGCGACGGTTCCGTTGGGGACTGAAGTTCATGGAATATCAGTGATTGACGTCCGTGATTTTTATGACAAGCTTCTAAATTCTGGTCTGGAATATGGGCCATGTTTTGCGAATATCACAAAAGCACGTGTCACTCAAGACGGAGCGTGCTTTGCAGAAGTCACTATGCCAGATACACTATCCGTGATGCCTGCATCATTTCAGCATGAGCTTTTGGTCCATCCTTGCACGCTGGATAGTATGTTCCACACCATTTTTGCCGCTCTACCTCCAGGTATGGGACTTGAGGAAGGACCTGCAATCCCTGTTTCAATTGAAGAGATGATTGTATCATCTAGTCTCAGCTGCCCGGCAGGAGAACCCATGAGTATCTGGACTCATGTGCGCCCGATGCCAAACAAGAACGTGACAGCATGCATAGTCGCAGTGAATTATAACGCGACGCAATTCGAAACAGAGCCAACTATTTCACTTCGTGGCCTGCGATGTGCACGGCTCGAGCGTCATGAACCCGCGTCGCAGACAAAGGACAATCGCACAATCTATCATATTGACTGGAAACCCGATCCGAGCTTTATTTCCAGTAAAAATGCCTCATTTCTATTTGGCAGGGAGGATGCTATTCAAGAGCCAGTCCTTCAAGCCGAGCATGATGAGAGTGCAGCTGGCTTCATCCGAGCTGCGTTAGGGGAAGTCAGCACAACGGAGGCAATGGGACTTGACCCTTCTCATCGCAGATTCCGGTGTTATCTTCAAGATGTGCTCGAACGAAATGATAAACCCTCAATATCATCATCTCACTTGGAAAATATCAATTCCGCCCCTATGGGAAGGCTCCTGTCGGTCATTGGCCAGAACCTTGCGGCTATTATTAGAC